TACACATCATATTCCCTCATGCTGTACAGAACCTGTGATGTCCAGACGATATTCCTCTTGTGTTCTGCTGGGAATACAAGCTACCACTGCCTTCTGCGTGGTCAGCTTCCCAAACTGTTTAGCTATGGACTGTTGTGCTGTCGCCCTCACAGTGGTTCAAAACACCACGAGGACCAACTGCAGGTCTGAACTGACTCTTTATCTTTGCTCAGGAGTCGAGGAAACACAGCAGGCAGTGAAAAGATCAAATCATTCACTCATTATATCAACACAGCTGCACAGTGGACACATGACTTTACAGGGTTATTTGAATGCAGTAGATATTTTCCATATAATCACAGTGTAGTCAGTGCAAATTAAAAAAAAAATATATATATAACACTAGAATGTGAGCTATGACAAACACAAAACTCAAAATACCTTGTCAACGACACAGGAACCATAATACTGTGTAGATTTCCTCGACATTCAAAAGACATGTTTGTTTAACTGGTGATTCTAAAATGGCTAAAATGGGTGTGAATGATACTCTTCACTGGACTGATGACCTGCACACCCTGTGACAGCTGGAATCGATCAATGTCAGCTTTTTAGGTTTACACATTTTTCAAGCTTTTATAGAAAATTTATTGAAACATGTTGCTGGCATCTAACTGAAAATATGCAGAAGTATGAAAGAGTGATGATAAATGGTTAACATATCTTCCACAAGCTATATTTATGATTACACACTGAGCAGATACATCAGAAAGAGACGAGTTTGTGTGTTTGTCAGCTGTTTGTGTGGAGTTGTTCTTTATGTTCACCTCAAATCAACCTGAGTGTCATTTCTCTTTAGTTCTGATCTCACTGCTGAGCTGCACAACAAACCAAGGTCAGTAACCTTCTTCTGTCACAGTTTAAACCTGAGAAATGCTCACTGACATGACCTGATTGGGTTCATGTTTCACAATGTAAAGTCTAACAGATCATCAGTTTTTCATTTTAACCCTCACAGCTCGTCTGACTGTGAGTCCCAGCAGCTCTCAGTTCTTTAAAGGAGACTTTGTGTCTCTGAGCTGTGAGGAGGACGACAGCTCTGCTGGATGGACTCTGAGGAGAAACACAAGCAAAGGACAGAGGACTCAATTGCATATTTTGATATTATATAAGGTATTGACTTAAATACTTAGTGACGAGAGCCATGATGTTTAATTTTACATTACTTTTAATTTTTTTTCTGTATTTTAATATTATCACACCTGCTTCTGGACAATGGATTTTTAAGGTACTGTTAATGTATTGTACCATTTAAAATAAATATATATGTATAAAAATGCAAAATCATGGTTTTGTTGTATAAACATTGTCTTGGTTTGTCTTTTAGGCAGTTGGGTTAACACTTCTATGCATATTTTTAACCACAAAATTGGGTTTTATCTGCTGGACATGTTTTGTCCCTTATCTCAAGAATCACTGGAACACAAACACTTTCTCTGCTTGTGTTTATCACTGCCAGCGCAGAGAAATGAAGTAAACTGAAGTAAACTTAATGTCATTCTGTGGAATTGTGCACAGGAAAGGAAGAAAAATAGAGTTTTCTAGCTGTCAGTTTATTTTTGTCATACTTATCACTGTGGTTCCTGATGAGCATTCACTTATTTTTAGTTTTAGTTTTTTTTAGTTTTCTTAGTTTGCATCCATTGATCTCTTCATATGTTAACTATGAATGTTAAGCAGAATTAAAGTATATTTAAGTTGAACTTCAGTGAATTTTACTTGAGTAAATGTTACTGATAATCTTCACTCTTCTGAAAGGATGCTTTACATTGTTGCACAGTACTGCATTTAATAACTTTTTATATTCCTATAAATGGCTTGAATTTCTCACTGGATCACTACAACTAAAGCATCAAGTTCCCTTTACCTCGGAAATGAGACGTTCACCAAGTTCCAGCAGAAGTAAGTGAGAAGGCCAGAAAAAAATGAAACAATAAAACAGGCTTTGTTTGCTCCGTAGAATGGGAAACTCATTCAGATGTCATTAACAGTACAGCGCTGTGCCTGCATTTTGTAGGCACATTATGCACACCGCGGCGACGCGTTCACGGAAGGAGGCGGCGCACGGCTCAGACACAGACGCAAACAGTAGTAGTACAAGCAAAATGGTAGTCCCACAGGTTTACTACTGCGCATTGCACTAGTGCAGGCTGATGGATGGAAGTTTGATTGGAGGTAGATATCAGTCACGAGAGGCTGTTCTAGTGTTGTGATTCGATAGTTCAGATTTCGTACTTCCTTTTCAAAGACAATGCATCTGAAAGCGCCAATCGCATAAGCGAAAGAAGTGTTTGTTTTCACGGGAAATAACTTTCAGTACCTAATTAATTAGTCAGGCTTTACACTGAGGTTCAGTCATTTACAGTAAATACCAGCGCCTTAGGACATTTACAACCATCCAAGTGTCGGATCATCAGCACTAACGAGGAAATGTCTACATCTCTCTGCTGTTTCCTGTCTGTGGGGCTCCTCGTGTTTGTCTCTGCAGGTGAGATTCAAAAATTTCGAACCAAACTATTTCCCACTGAGGTAGAGAAAAGTAAAGGAGATCACTGTGGGTTTTCTATTGATTCGTGGAGTTCACGTCCGTTAATGTAATGCAGGTGGGACAGAAATAAAGAAGTGTGTTGTGCAGGGCTGCCGGCTGCACTTTATCTATCATCTCACTTTAATGTTGATAACATGTCGTTAATTTGACTGTTGATTTTGATTATTTCGTTTCTTTTTTCTTTTCTTTTTGACACTTCTTCCATGTTAAAAGCCCCGCGAGCGCACAGGCAGCAGCAAGGGGAGGGGAGGGGCTGGTGGCGTTGTCAATCCTTGTACGGCCATTGGTCAACGGCTGTACCTGCAGGGGCGGTCCTAGCGATCTGTCTCTCTCTGTCATACGTGTGTGTGTGTATATATATGTTTTATTCAGGATCGCTGGCCCTAATCTTAACCTCAGAGGCTGGTGAACCCTGACTATGACATAATCAGGGTTGATAGGTTATGTTTTATCCTAAACATCACCTATCAAAGTTCTAAACTATATATGTGTATATGTACATGTATGCGTACACCCACGCACACACTATGATAGTAAACAGTAGACCGACAGTAGACACTGATGTGAGTTATTCAATCTTTTGCACAATATTAATTGGAAGAGATATATTGTTACGAGATATCTAGATAGATATAGATATCTATGCGGCACAGTTTGCCCGTGGGCCACTCATGCTTGTGCTGTTGTTGGTCCTTCACAGAGCTGCAGATAAAGGTAAACTTATAACATACAAATAGCTGAAGTGAAACCGGTGTTTAAAACAATGAAATGTTTGTCCCATTCTCTGTGAAATCTGCTGTTTCACCCTCGCTGTTGGGACCCATTTGTCAAACAACCAGCATTCATCCACTGCACAGTGTCATCCACGTCAATCATTGTGCACTTGGGATTTGGTAGCGTTGTATAGGAACATATTTGCCGAGACTGGGAACCCTTTTCTGTAGGCTCATCGTAGGCAAATCCCAAACAGTAACAAACATGGTTAAATTAAGCACAAAGAGGTCAGGTGTCTCACTGATTTTATTTGCCAAAGCTGCAGTTGAAAGTTAATTAGGTTTTAGGTCTCCTGCAGTCAGAAAGCTTTGCTGTGAAGGGGTCTTTGACAAAATAACGTGCATATTTTAGTGGCTTTGAAACTGGTTATGCAGAACTGAGTCAGGGTCACTTCCTTTCCTGTGTGGAGATTTGTAGATGTAGACAAACACAAGAACAATGATGCTGCACAAGAAATCATAAAAGTCTGCTATCAAAGCTTAGAGATCTACTGTTTTTGTTGTTGTTTGTTTTTTGACAGCATTTTGTGTATTTTGGGATTTTTATTCATGCTAAATATTAAAGTCACAGCGCTAAGAGAAAGGAATGTTAAAATAGTTTGTAATTTTTCTATAAACATATTAACAGAGTGAGTAAATCAGAAACACTAATAGGCTTCAGAAGAGATTTGGTTCCTGAATTTTTCATTCTCCGACTGTTGTATTTATTTTCTTTCAAAAATTACAATTATGAGCAGGTGTTTATGTTTGTACTCATCACACTCAGCGCACAGGGAACAGTTGTACTTTGACCTATAACCTCTCTGCTTTGTATTGTTTCCTCTTTCAGACCAGAAAACCATCACAGCTGAGTCTGGACAGAATGTCACTCTGACATGTCGAGCTCCAAACAACAGCAAGATCTTAACTGTAGAGTGGCACCGACCTGACCTGCAGCCAAAATATGTTCTTTTATTTCGGGATGGAAACATTGATCCAGTCAACCAGCATCCATCTTTTAAGAACCGGGTGGATCTGCAGGACAGAAAGATGAAGGATGGAGACGTGTCTTTGATTCTGAACAATGTGACGATTAATGACGCTGGAACATACGAGTGTCGTGTCTTCCTGGAAGAAACGCGCTCCTTGCAGTCCATAACAAACATCACCCTGAGAGTTGTTCATTCAGGTGAGTGAGTAGAGTTGAGTGTGTGTGTGATCAGAGGTGAAACTGCTTCCTGGTTGTTGATGTTTGTTTCTAAAGATGTTGTTGATGAGACTTTGTAGAAAGCAGCTGGCCTGAGCGATGTGATCAGAGTGCAGTAGATAATGTCTGACAGCAGTTTGAAGAGGAAATGGATTCTGTTCTGTTCGTCACTCATCACCTACCTCAGTGTTTCCCAACCACTGTGCTGCTGCACACAGGTTTGTCGTGGAAGATGATCTGGTTCCACCTGGTTGGTACTCTAAGCAAATGGCATGACTGGCAGAACAATTACATTCTCTTCCACTAGCGGGCAGTGCAACCTGCTCTGATTAAATGTGTTGCCAACTGCCAGTAAAACAGAAGACAGAGGAAATTACATAATTGTCATGCTGTGAGTGTGACAATGCAGCGCATAAAAGCAATAGGTAAATATTTGAAAATAAACATTTGTCAATCTTACCTGGATCCTGGAGAAAATTCCAACACAGATGAACCCTAGCATGACTTGTGGTCAGAAGAAAGCAATTTAAACAAAACAAAAAGGTGTCCTGGGGACAAATCAAGCCACTTCTGCTGTGCCTGGTGTGCAGGGAAATAATTATCAACATGCTTTTCGTGACATTTTTGTTTGGTGATGTGCCGTGTGATTTTTCTAATGTGAAATATGCGCCGTGGCTCCAAAAGGTTGGGAAACACTGATCTACCTGACAGCTAACATCTCACACCTGTTTCTCACCTGCAGGTCAGCGAGGAAGATCTGTTGGACTGAAAGGCGGTGTGCTAGTTTTAGGTCTGCTTTTTGTTGTTGCTGTTGCATTTTAGAGAATAACAGCGACAGGATCCGTACCAGCCTCCTGCTGAACTACAACAGCTTTGAAACC